CTCTTTTTTTTTTCTTCAATATTCCACTATCAGAAGAGGATTATGGTGTGATTCTTCAGCTTTTGTTCCTCAAAAGTAATGCAGCGATGTGAACAGTGCTTTGAAATATCATGTATGAAAGTGTTGTGCTGGTCAGTACTTTCATTTGCTGTGCTCATTCATTGCCATCAATAGTTACTGCTGCCTTGCAGTGAGAGGTTTTGGATTTGAAACAAACTCAAAAATTCAAGTCTCTTAAAGCCCCACATCCTTCAGAAACAGAAGTCAAGCAAATAAACTTAAGCCACAACTTACCTAAATTCTTTTAGGCAATGTCTCCAACATGCTAAAGGGAATTTATTTCTAACTTCATTCTCTTCCCAATCAACTTGGTGGAATAACTGCTGGGAAATCTCACTGTAATTGTAAAGGAAGAGCATCAACCTGCAGCATCAGGGACCTGCAGACTGGGATCTTTGCCTATGGGGAGATCACTGACTGGGAGTGAAGTGTGGATACCACAGCCATGCTTCCTTCTGGGTTTCGTTAGCAGTTCAACACTTTTGCCAGCTGCAGAGATTGTTTTTTGGATAATGGTCTTACTCACTGAAATAACAATCAGCATCTCTGCTCAACAACAGGCACCTCAGAGGAACTATACCCAAGTGTGAAACTTCCAGCTGAAAAGAACTGGAAGGGAGTAAAATGGGTGAAATATATGGCATTTTGTCTAGTTTTAAAAATACAAAGTTTTTGGAAATGTAAAGCATTTTATCCCAACACTTCCAAAGTATTATTTGAGGCTTCATTTGGAAAAATAGCTGTTCTACTTTTAAAATCTGTCTTGATTTTCTGCTGAAGGAGAATCCTTAAATTGTTTACAGTGAATCAGAGCTTTTCATCTGAAGCCAAACAAAAAGAGTCAGGTGTATGCAAACAATGTTTTCATTTCCGTGTTTCATCTAATGGTTATTATTCTCATTTTGGTTAAACCCGAGCTTTGCCCAGGGCATGAAGAATGCATGGAGTGTCCCAATTCCACCTGAGGGTTTTCAACAGGGCACAGAGCAATTGCACTTGCTTTATGAGGGAAAATAAAAAGATGTGACAAACATTTAAAGTTAGAGAACTGACTGGGAAAAGCAGAGACAACAACTAAGGCAGACATCACCTCATTCCTCTTCCTACGAGTGCTGGGAGCTCTGCTTTGACTGCCCTTTTAAAATCTTTCCTTCCAAGCAGCCCAGGCCCCTCAGTTCCCTCAGACCAAGGTTCTGTTAGAGCAGTGCTCACCATGTCTTCCATGCAGTGCAGAGGTCATCAAGCTCCAAGCAAAAGTAAAAACAATAGGTGTGATACTGGGATATACCTAACTGAGGGATCTATGGTTGGACTAGATGATCTTACTGGTCTTTCCATTCTTAATGATTCTGTCATTCAGTGATTGGCACACACCAACATACGGCATCAATTTCTTCTTTAGAATATAGTAACAGGCTCCTTGGCTATACTAGAAGAGATATTTGCATAGTTGAGGGCAGTATTTGGCAGCACATTACAGTTTCTATGGAAATACATGTTTCTGTTTGCTTGGTATCTGAAATGCAATGGCAAATTCCACACCAGACCCTTGGTGCTATAGATGACACCATGGCTGTGTGATGCTTCGCCCCATGGAAAGCTTCGTTGTGTGATAGAAGGGTTCAGGCCAGTCTGAAGTACAGAGGAAGACTAATGAGCCTTTGGACAGCTGAATGCTTGCAGTTGCTATCACCCAGCTTTTCCTTTCCCTAAAAGTAAAGATTCACAGTTCTATATAGGTCGTGATCTCACCAGTTTGTAACACTGATGAGATATTAAAAATAAAGGGGGGAAAAAATGAGTAACAAATATGACCGAAAAGAAGTGAAGTGCCAGTGATGTTAAATCTGATAAAGATATTTGGTGGTCAAGTAATGTTTGTATCTCACACCTCAGAAAAATACTCATTGTTGTGTGTGACCCAAACATCTGCAGAAAAGTTGGTGATGCCCAAGGTAAGATTCCTATTGAAATCCACAATGCTAATGTGGATTTAAACTAATCCCATTGAAATGCACAGAAGATGGCAATTCATATCCAGAGTCAGCAAAGCAACTCAGCTTTTCAGGATGTATGAAAACGTCTGTGTGAGGACAGCCCACAGAAGCTGCTTTGCTAATGAAAATGGAATTGAAAGAAGAAAAAAAAGAAATATTCTGAAGGATGCTGGCTGTAAAAATAAATCCCATGTAGGAAGATTTACTGACAGGATAAAATAATTGTCACAGATGACTCTTCTGCACTATCAACAATAAAAAACACTTGAAATAAAAGGAAACCTCAGCTCAGCTCCCAGCTCCACTCTGGAAATAGCAGCAACAGTGAATTTTAATCTCAGAGATAATTGCATGGAAGAAAGCAAAAATAAGAACCCCTCCCTATTCTGTTGCAAAACCTGGTAAAGCTATGAGATTATCAATTCTGGGTTTTATATTGCATAGGTCAGTGCATGGATCTGACACCCAGAGCTGCAGTTCCTGCTGAGCTGTAGGTCCTGAGGGCATTTCCCAGCCAAGGTATGGAAGGAATGTGTCTCTGTGATGTGCCTCAAACTGAACTCAGAATGCCCTATCAAAGCTAGAAAGGTAAAGTCACCAGTGGAAGATTTTTGTTGATAGACATAGCAAGCAAAAATATTACACAAATTTCATCCTCAAAATTAGAACTCTGATTTATTCCATTATTTTTAGGGTTTTTTTTTTCCTACTGTCCATGTGAGGAAGAACTATTTACATAAAGGAGAATTTGCAACAGATTTAAAAATAAACCCCCTGTGTATATGTGCTGGTAACATTCAAAATACGTCCCTGGAGAAGATCTGAACGACCCATTAGCAGTGCTGTGGTAATGATAACACTGTCCTTCATCCCTGCATCCTCAGTCTGTGATGTCATTCACGTTCGAAATACAGCAGCATGCATCAGCATCAGTGCAACAAAGAGAACATTTCACTCTAAGCAGATGCTTAAAACTTGCACTCATATCAGCAGGACATAGGCAGCTGCATAAACACTTTATTGAACAGAAATAGACTTAAGGAGGCACTTACATGCTTTGCCCCACCAGGACATAAACTAGCTCTGAAGCAAATCAATGAATGTTCTCTTTCTATATGCTCATGTGTAAAACATACACCCAAACTGAACACTAAATCAGAGCCTACTTTCTGCCTCAGTAAATTCTTGTTTGCTCCAGACTTCACTCCTGCCAGATATTTTTCATTTCAGCTCTGCTAACAGACATAGCAGGCTTAGCCTCCCCATCTTTAATGAACTTATTTTGATGGACACAATGGAACACACTGTGCATGCTCTGCACAGAGTATGCAGAGCCCATCAACAACTACCATGCTGGTTTGCCATGGAGAGCTGAATAAAACAACACGGGTGGAGAAATTAGAAACATTAATCTGCCTCTAGATTCTGACTTCTACCAGTCTGAAAAGGAAGGTCTCCAAATTGTATAGAAGTGCACCTAGTAATAACAATAAATCAGCTCCTACCCCTTCTGTTCTTCAGCCCAGCTGGCTGTAGGTATATAGAGGCACTCATCAGGTCTGCTGCGGTTCAGGCTTTGTCAGCATTACCATTATTAAATCCTGTTTTCATAGTTTTATAACTTGCCTGTGAAAATTTACTCCTGGCTCAGGGCTGACATTTAAAGTGTCAGCTAAGAAGAGATTAATTCCTGAAGTCTATCCCTGAATGTGCATGGTTATTGGTTAAAGTTGCATAAAAATAAAAGGAATTGAAAGTTGATGGCTTGGATTGTTTTTCCAACTAATAAATGCTTCCAGCATGCCTGCTTCTCAGGGAACTTTCTAGCATTGCTTTTACTTAAGGCAGAGATGTTCTTGCTCCCCAAGTTCTCAGCCAAACCCAGCTCATTGCTTCAGGTGAGCCAAACTCACAGAGAAGGCTCCTCTGCAAATTGCATGGCCTCACAAGGGGGTGATGCTAATGCAGCACCTCCAATACCACCCAGTCTCAGTGTCATGGAGTTGTTAAGGTTGGAAAAGACCACTAAGGCCATCAAATCCAACCATCAACCCATCCCCACCATGGCCACAAGCCACATCCCTCAGCATCCTTGCCATGCAGCCTGCACACTCACAGCGCACCTGCTGGGTACATCCCTACATTTCAACACCTTCCTGCCCTCAACTCTTCAACGTTTCTATTTAATGTAAATTTAAACTTATTCTTTACAGAGACATCCCTTCCTTCCAGGAATGCTGCACACCTTGGTGTTGCTCAGGAGTGAACGAATTTGGGCAAGGCCTCTCTAAATGACAAGCTAAGTTTTTCTCTAGTGGGCATTTAAACTTTTGAAAAAGCAGAATGATTTTAAAGACAGTTTAGAGCCAAACGTCTGGCAGGCATTGCATTTGTCACTAGGGAGACAAGGGCCATCAATCTAACTAAATTGCTGTGTCTATATGAAATACTTGGCAATAATCAGGAAGTGGAAAAAAACAGAAAACAAGCACAAATTGTAGGCTTTGCACCCCCAGCCTTGCAGGAGTGAAAATGAAATTTTTTTGCAGCTTCCTCTCTGCTGGTTTAGGCTATGTGCCAGTGGTGCCAGCTGACATTTGCTATCTGCCCAAGGAGCATTGCCATACAGAACACAAAGGGACCTTTCTAAGCCCCTTAAGGAGGGCATCACTTGCTAACAAAGCAGTAGCCATGAGAGCCACTCACAAAACTATTGCACAAGCCCCCAGAAAGCACAGGTCCTGCTCCAAAGAGCCTCCTGTCCAGGCAGACAAAATCAGCAGTAAAATATTTTGCCACCTTGATGTCCCCACTCTGTTCATCATTCACCTCTCCACTCATTGCTGCTGGTCAGCCTGCTCCCAGCTGGGTGAGAGCACCCAGCCCTGATGCAGAGCACCTGCAGAGATCCCAGGACAGTTTGCTGTGCTGAGTCAGCCCCAGACTGGCTTTTATTAGTGGCAGGTGGGCATGGCTCCTGCTGCTTTTGTCTCCTCTTCCCTTGCTTTGTTGAATGCAGTCTCATTTCAGGTAAGCATGCTTTACTCCCATACGTTCATTTCTTGTTTTCCTCTCATCCCAAGTACTCACGGTGATTAGATTTGGGTTACTTGGAGGTTTGTTTACAGAAATAGAGCTTTTCCCCAGCCTTCCTTTACAACGATATGTCCTATCCCTACCTTCTCCCTCAAACTGCCAATCTGATTTGTAAGTGATATCAATAGTTTCCTCGCACTGTTTAGGTCTTACTTTGTAAATCATATTCCCTTTGTGCCATACTGTCAAACGCTTCCCTGAAATCATGATGGATGATGTCCTCTATTACATACTTATCAAGCAATGCCCTGATGTACTCAGAGAATTCAAATACATTTATCAGGCTCGAGCCTTCCCTCATGAATGCAGCAGTCACTCAGCAGGTCCCGGTGATATCTGCTCCAGGCTTGGAGGACATCAATTCTGCTGCAGACTTCAGGTGTTTTTGGTGTCTGTTATGTATCATTGCATGGGATTCCATTTCTCAGACAGCGAGAAAACAATCAGTGAGACATACTCAGAGGGACAGCATTCTTTAAAAAAGCAACAAGGACAAGCCCCCATGTGTCAAATGCAGTTTTTTCTTATTTTGGGAAGAGACAAATTACCCTTTCCATTACCCAAGTGGTCCTTTTCACCTGGAAGAATTGTATGTGAACATTTCAAAGGCTGTGTGTTCCCCAGAAAGCATGCAACACCTGCAGCCAGCAGACATCAGCAACTCAGTGTGAGAAGGCACATCTTTGGCTGGATGAAGCAATACTCTGGGCTGGGCCACAGCCCATGGGGAGGCCCTGATGCTGAGGTGCTCCATGAGAGACCAGCTGGGAAGGGGTTAAGGGGAGCAACTCTGATCTTACAAACAGTATGGCTGGAAAGCCTCAAAGGCCCTGTAACCTGGGCTGGCATATGTCCTCTCCTCATGTAGTTGGGTGGGTTGAACGGTGAGTGATGATGCACTGGTGTGTAGAAGCCACTGCAGACATCAGAAGTGCCAACTATGCTCCTGTGTGACATCTGTCCCATGTGCACTTTCTGGATCTGCCCATGGTACTTAGGTTGTTATCACTCCCAGAAATGCTCACCTAATCTGTTCTTAAAATTGGAGCACAAATGTAGTCTTGTAGTGTTTTTATATTTCTTTTCAGCTTCCTGGGAGTTCTCAGCTGGTGCTGAGCAGGAGAAAAGGTTCTCTCTGTTCTTCCAGAGAGTGGAACTGGAATGCCATCCCCTATCCCTGTGGGAAGAGGGCATGGTGGAGATGTTGTCACTCAAGGATATGTCCTCCAGGCTGGCTGACAACAGCAGGAAGAGCTCCTGGGTATTGCCTCTGACCAAAGGTTTGGTGCTTCGTCCATCTGTTTCTTGCCTGCAAACACAAAGCATAAGAGACATATGAAGAATAGTTTGTCGAGTCCAGCATTATTTTTATTTAAAAGAGACAAATACCTACCAAGTTCCTCCACGCTGCAGGAAAAGGTACCCTGCCAGCATTTATGCTGCCTACAGTGACTTCCAAAAGAAGCTCTTAGCATGCAGCACAGCATGCCTAGAAGTGTCAGGCACATAGATCAGGTGTATGTGGGACTGCCCAACCTCCAGGCTACCCATTAATTTTTATGTGTGTTTTGCCTTGAAGTCCCCATCCACAAAGGGAAGGAAATAAGACATGTCTGGGTTCTCGTGCACTAAACCTACAGAGACCTCCAGAGCAAACCTGCACTTGGTGCCCATCCAGCTCAGGTACTGCTGCTGGCTCTATCTGCAGTGTACAGCCCTGTCCACAGGCCTTGCAGACACCCACAGTGATGTGCAAGTTAATGTGGTTTCACACTGCTTCTGGGAGCAGTTGGTTTGGGAGCAGAAGAATATTTTAATGACGGTCTACAAATTGAATTTTAATTGTGAACAAATGATGAGCTTTGTCTCTGCATCAGTAGTCTCACAAACAGGATCCTGACCCTATAAATAAATGCTAGTTGAACCTCGCATTTTAAACCAGCTGATCCCTAGAGAACAATTCTGTCTTTCATACTCCATCCCCATAAATATGCCAAATTTGTCTCCATTATGCCATGTCAAGCAGGGCCACCAACAGCACCTCACCATAAATAGGGCTTTTGTTCCCTTTTCTATGTGGCACCATGAACATCCAGCACCTGTGCAAGTCCTCAAGAAATCATCCTGGGACATGGGCAGGCTGAGATGGGAAATGGGAAGTGTATCTCCCTGGTATATCTGGATGGATCTTGTACTTCTCAGATGGACCAGCTGTCCTCACATCAGAGCACGTACTGTTTAAGCTCTCATCAAGTGACAGAAGCAATAAGAGCAATTAAACAAAGAGGACTAATGGGAATTTTAATCTTCTCTCTGCTAAATGATGATGGATGTCAGCAAAGCATACGTGGAAGAGAGTATTTGAATAAGCTCCCCCTGCTGTGCCTACTGTTACCAATGTGCTTGCAGAAAGTTTCCCTGCTATAAATCAAGCACAGTATTTTCGGGGCCCACCAATGACACCAAACTTGTTTCCTGCTTTTTAGTAGTTGTAGTGAGATGGTTTCATCCTCTGATCTGTTCACGTTGGACTGATTTTCTTACCTTTACTATCCATCTCCAGTGTTTACAAAACTGGAAAAGCAGTGTTAGGAAGCAGGTTCTTTACCTGTGTGTAGAGCAATATTGAGATGGGGGTTTCAGTACTACTTCTTGGCTCAGGTGGGCTCTTCAGGTGTAAAATTTTAAATTGGACATTTGACTTCCTATGTAAAAGTCATTTACCTCCTCCTTGGCAAAGTCCATTCTCTTTCCATGAACTCATTAGAGCTTACAAAACCTCTTTTCATTTAGAACAAGCAGTTTGTAGCATGCAAAGTGGTGTCGTCCACCTCTGGATCAAAGGCTTGAAGAGAGATTTTGGTGACATCCCAGTTCCCGTCACCTCATGCTGACCTTCTGAAAAACAAATGCAAAACTGCCTATTTCCTCTAAGAAAAATCCCAGCTGGTGATTTTCTGATGTCTCCAGAACAACTTTGAAGATAGTGTTGAGGCAGAAAGACTAAGCTAAGCAAGGCACTGGAATAAAGCCAGTATTCAGGTACAAAATTGATGGCAAAGCTGAATTGTTACAGAGGAAATCTATAGAGGAGCTCACAAGCAATTAAAATAAATTCAGAATGTGAAATGTAGAAAGCCCATTTCCAAATTGGCCTGAGAATGTTTGCTTAAAAGTGAGTAAAAGCAACAAAGTCCCACAGCCAGAAAGAACAGCTTAAGTTCATAGAAAAGAAAAAAAAAAAAAAGAAGAAGAAGAAAAAGAGAGGACTCTAACAAAAGATGATGTAAAGTGATTGACAATGCATTGGACTGAACTGCAGTAACAACAGAAAGCTAATTACATGAGGAATTACCACGCTTAAAGTCAATCAGTTTGAAGAATCCCAAGTTGCTAAGGTTGGGCTTGGAGACAGGGTAGTTTAAATGGATTTGTGTATCACCTTGATGGCTGCACAGCAGACCTTGCCAAGGAGAGGCAATGCACTGCACCAGAAGTGTTACTTAGCCATGGTGCTGCTGGATCCAAACTAAATGCAGTTCAATTCTGTTTCCCCTGATCTTACTTCCCTTCAATGATTCATCAGAAGCTTCCAGATAGCTACAAAATATGAAACTTTAAACAATTTTTGCTTTCAGTAGTGCCATTAGCATAGAAAATTTAAAGCAAAGGTTAGTCATCCACTCAGACACGGTCAACAGCCTGACTGCCCCATGGCACTTTTCCAGAAGGTCCAGAAAAATCCAGAACAGGTCATCATGCACTGCCTTTCCTGCAATGCCTCCATGAAGGTGGTGTGAGTCCCATGGCACAAAGGTGCTGTGGTAACCGTGGTATCATCTCTCCTGCATGGCACTGGAGTCTCTTCTTCCTTACTCTCTCTGTGTGATATATTATGACAATTTTGTACTGAATAGCAAATGTGCTGTTTTTAATAACCATTGAGCAGCTCATGAAAGCTTAAAGTAGTGAGCTGGCAATGGGGTGGATGTGGCTGGATTTAATGTCTTGGCCCAAGCAATCTGACTTGTAATTATTGTCTAAGATACCCATGAGGCTGGTCTTTCCAGGGCTGCAAATGAGCCTTCTGAAAAAGAAAAATGTAAATAATAATATTTGCACAGAAAGGTGTGTTTAAAAACCTCCTTAACTTGGTTTTCCATGAGTAGTGGTGAGAGCACTGCATGTTGCAGGCATGTGCCCCGTGTGCATGCTCATCTCCTTCCAGACCATCTCCTTGCAATCCCCTGGTAATTCCCTCAAGCAGGAGGAGCTGGGCTCTGTTCCAGCTGCCCTCAGGCAAGCCTTTCCCAACACAAAGTTGTGGCATGGCAAGGACGTGACATGGAATAGACTCAGTGAGACACAGCCCTCCAGGAGGACAGGCTCTGTTGGGCCTGCTGCTACGTAACTGCTTGCATCAGTTAGGCAATGTGCCTCGAGGTTTGGAAAGGTAGACATACATCAGCTTAAAATGCCTCTTATCTGGAAAAAATATGACATATTACTAACATGATATAAGAGGGAAAAGTGTTGGAGGCTGAAATGGAGGGGAATTTGGAAAGAGAGAAGTGCAATTTTCCCCCTTTCCTCCTTGACCTTGAGTACATCACTTGCTCTTTTGGCCTCCTCATCTCTGCTGAAGGAATGATTAACCAGTGTTACCATTAGTACTGGAGCGTGGATGAAGAGATGTTCGTTTAGATTCTGGTGACTGGGAAGAAATAATGTGTTTTTTCAGCTGTTTTTCTATTGCTCATGAAAAACTGGCCGAAGTCATACTTAAAATCTCCAAGGACAGAGCCACAAAATTGGTTCTTTTTTTGACAGAAATGGGCTGATTTTTAAGGTCTTAGTGAGATTAAATGTGTTAAGAGCAGTATTTGTAAGAGCTTTTGAACTCCCTTCATCTTTTGGAATAAATAATAATCGCCATTATGGTTGGTCCTACTTCATTGTGTTTGGAAAGCACCAAAAAAAATTAATAGAGACATGACTAATCATTTGCTAGTGACTTATCTCTTGACAAATTCCTAGTGGCACAGCAAGAGTTATATCCCACTGTGCCACATGAACACTGTAACTCAACAAGTCTTCTAAAGGATTGTAATTTGGCTTTCCAAACAGCTTATGTGAGGTTTCCTTGGGAGAATGAGGTGTGCTCCTAACAGTCCATGAAGTAAGGTGATTTGCCTGTAAGCATGTCACCTAGAAAGGACATGGGAGTACAGGGGGAAGGAGAAAAGGATTGAACTTGAATTATTATTTTTTTTTTAATCCATTTTGCCTATTTACTTCTTCACAAGTCTCAGAAATAATCCAGTAGCCTGAGCCCAAGCTGAGTCTTCTTTGATGGCAAAGTATCTGAAGGTGTTCAGACACTTCGATGCTACGACTTTTTTGACTTTCAGAAACCATTAATCCCCTCAGGGTATCTCATGGCAGGAGCCCAGACCAAAAAGGAGAGACATCCAGTTGTTGATTCAGTCGTTCTCGTGTCATTTTATTCTGAGTTAAACAAAATATTTTCTTTGGAGTCTCTACTCCTTTTGTACTGAATAACGGCTTTGCAGCACTACACTCTTCCAAGAAAAGTGGTATTGACAGCTCTATTTTAAGCCTCAGAACAACAGGCCAGTAGGATCCCATGAGCAAGGTAGACCTTTGTGGGGAAATCAAACCACTGAGACATATTTTGCACTACTCAAACATGTCAGCTGGGTTCAGAGAAGCCCAGGATTTTAGAGAGGTATTAATAAGATAGCCCATCAGATTCTTTACCTTTCAAGAACTGTACCTTTTCATTCTAACTTTGCAAGTGCAATACTCATTGCGTGGTGGTATGACTGGCATGGAATGGTGGAAGGTAAACAATTGTTAATTTCTATTTAATCAGAAAAGGAGGAGTTGGCAGAAAGCTTCAGGCTCTTGGGACAGAAAGGGGTTGCTGTTACACACCTGAGAAAGACCCTTAACGACAACTTCTGAAAAATTACACCTATATTTACAGGGATCCTGTAAATAGTCAGTTTCACTTGTTAAGGTAATGTTTGTATCTTGTACTGCAAGTTCCCTTTAAAAAGTAGTTCTTGCTATGCACAATGCCTTTGGCTACCCCCAGAATGGAGCAAAAGTGAGTACTGAGAGCTCTGTTAAACTGAATGGATAGTTAAAATTTCTGGTAAACTATCAGTACCAAACAGATCACTCAGAAGAAAGGCAGGCACTTGGAGTTGTGTAATGACATGAAAATTTTAGGAAGGATAGAATTCACAAGGAGGAGTAGAAAAGAGCTCAGGCACTGCCTACAGCTTAAGAAAGGAGGAAAGATTTTGGCCTTTGCTTCTGTAGCCCCAGCCACTGCCTCACCAGCCACCGCATCACCCACCTTCAAGGCAGCACTTGATGGCCACCAGACCTGCTGCCTTCTGGTGCTTACCTCTTCCTGATGAGGTTACATCATCAGGAAGTGGGCATTTCATCTCTTGGAATATTATGTCAGCTGAGTCATTCCCCATATTATTGCCGTGCAAGGTCAGCCGTGCAACAGCTTTTCCTGGCACAGTCGTGGGAGCTCTTGATCAACTGGAGTGAATCATGCATCATGCACAACAGCCTCACACTTTGGGGTTATTTGCTGTGAAATGACCATGATTTTGTAACTCAATTTAAAACAAGTTGAAAATTAATATGTCCACAGATGCTGGATGAGATGAACAATGCAGATTGGACATGCCTGCATGGTCCTGGCAGTGGCCCACTGCTGTCACATGGCACTCATGGGGTGTCAGATCATAAACCTTTTCATGCTTGCAAAATTGGGGTGATGAACTCCCTGCCCCACTAAGCTTAAAGTTCAAAGGCGTGATGGCTAAATGAGATAAAGAGGAGTTAATATATACTGTTAATTTTGAATATATCTTTTTTTTTTTCATCAACATAGAATTGTTTGAGTCAAAAGGGACCATCTGGTCCAACCCCCTTGCACTGCACACGGACATTCACAGCTCCATCAGGCACTCAGAGCCCGTCCAGCCTGACCTTGAGTTTCTCCAGTGATGGGGCACCCACCACCTCTCTGGGCAACTTGTGCCAGTGCCTCACCACTCTTATTGTAAAAAAACATTTCTTCAAATCTTGTGATTTGGTCTTTTGATTTCATTTGATCTTGATCTTGCTTGGATCGAGGCCCAGAGCTTCCAGATCTTTGGGTAATTCTTCCAAGCCAAAGCTGAGTGATCTTCAGTTTTTCCACCTCTAGTCAATAACATAAATCCAAAGGTTGGAAAGTAGTAGAAGAGTTTGTGATGCTTACAGAAAATGAGCATCTGTTTAAGTAACAATAAACATATTTTTCTTAAAATTAAGTCTTACGACTGCATATTGAAAGCACATTAGAGCCATTCTGAGCCAAGTCAGCTCCCAGTGCTGTCGGGGAAAGTCTTTTGGTTGACTTGAACCAATGCTGGAGGAGTACAAGAGGCTTTAATTGCAGCTGCACTCACACCCAAATACAAAAGTATGAGCAATGCGTGAGCAACAGCAAGGACAAATCTTCCCTAGCAATGCTATGAGAGTGAAAGGGGTTCCTGTTTTGTTTTGGGATTTTGTGATGGGGTTGTTCACAATTTTTTATTTTGTTTTAATTCAATTTTAAGTAACTGCTTTGGAGGTTTGCATTCAGAACTAGTAGAAAACAATGCTTAATTGCAGCTTGGCCCTGTAAGTGATCATCTTTTCCCTTTCTGCTGAAACCTCCTGGCTATGGAAAAGTCAGGACATAGAAATCAAATTTGTGAACAGCACAGATTGCTAAGTCATTCTGCTGCCTCTGGATCTCCTCATCCCCCTCACACAGTCATTTTCAAATGGGGGGAGTTCTGGGGGAATTCCAGAGGATAGCTCAAATAAACATTGAAATGCACATCCGGGCAAGCTGATGATCAAAGTAAAACAAGTGCTGTCTTATAAAAGAAGTGTCTAAATGCAGCATGATACGGGCAGTTATCCCTGACCTATTTAAGTGTTTCTGGCCTTGGGCAACAAAGCTTCATAGGAAATGAAATGAATAACAATACCCAAATGAGATTCACCTCTGCAATGCTAAATGTACTTCAGAGTTAGAATTATATTCATTTTTAATCTGTATAATCACATTATCTCAAGTGTGCTGTATATTGAAAAGAAAAAAGGAATAACCAACAATTTTATTATGCATACCAGCAGCATGTGTTAGGAGAAAAACATACATATACGTATATA